GAGCAGTCTCAGATCACAGATTTTCATAACTTTCAAACAGAGACAGAATCAAACTAGCTTTGGGGCAGACTGTAAGGAGGTCCAAGGAAGAACACAACTCGACTAGATTTTCATAGATTCCAGTTCCAATGTCTGTATTTTCTCTCTGATTTGAGTCTCTATAATACTCTATAACCTATGGATTAAAGGTACGCTTTCCGCACGTTGATTGGACATAAATAAAACAAGTTGCTTATGAGTGCTTGGAACTATTTCATACCCAGTAATAAATACAAAACATTCAATCTTGATACGATCATTGGTGAGCTTGAGTCCCCCTTATGTGTTTCTCTTAGTTGTGGAACCTATCTTCTATTCTTTATTTATTTATTTGTTTGGAACACTTCGGGTGATTCACAAGCTTGGCAAGTCTTATCTGAGAGGGCCTATTCAAGGTCTACAATAAATGAAGTCAGTAGGGAACTGTTAAGGTTGAAATGGGAAGTGATCAAGTTTATTCAATTGGAATATACTAGATTTGGTTTGTTTGAAGGTCAAGGTTCAGAAGAAGGTGTCAAGTTATCTAATTACAGGTTAGGGAAAGGTCTGAGTCAGAGGAAGCAACTGGGTTGGTGAAGTTTCGGAACGGGGTGTCATTGGGTTTGAGGTTGAGGAAAGGTTGAGTTGCATATCCGGTGTTAGGTGGGGGCGGGAATGGGGTTGGGGCTTAACATATATATAAAAAAAAAGGTTTATGCAGGAGCTTAACCGGGAAAGGATTGTTTGACGGCCAAGGTGAGCACAGGAGGGTGTTGAGGTTGATTATTGTGGGTTTGTACACCAATAATCCGGCACTTTCGACATGCGAGAATGGGTAGCTGGTTATATCACCTGCTAGTTGTGCTAGTTAAACTGTTGTCACTGATTATTAGAAATTGGGCAACTCTCAAGTGAAGTTCCAAGGCAATCTGCAGAGGAAACTGATCACATGGGTCAACTAGGTCATGCACAATCCTTACAAAACTCTAAACTAGGGATTTAGGTAATTGGAAGCCAATTCAGAGGGTCCAAGAGGATACATCCTTACTCAGACTTGAACCATTGCAAAGATGATTTAATCCTTAGAAAACGGTACAGGCTTCCCATCAATTAGGTGAAATTCGATTGGGTAATTTTTTTCGGTTTCAAAGGTATTTTGGTAATTTACAACCCTTGAGCTGTATGGTATATGAGAATGCATCTATGTATGGTATGATATATGAAAATGCATCTATATATGGTCTAGGGACTCAATGTATGGTCTGAGGTAAAAAGTCCATGATTTTAATCATGAATCAACTAAATTTCAGGTGTCTACAATGCATATTTTGGTATATTTGAGAACTGAATATCTAATTTCACTGGCCTTAGCCAATCGACAAAAAAAGCCCATTCAAGTTTCAATTGTTCCAGGAATTCATCCCTCAAAAATAGAAGGAAACTTGTTTCATTCGGGCTGGACAGCATTTCTACAAATGTGGTCCTGAAGTATAAAGCATCCAAAAGATGGAATCGAATATATGGTCTATCTAAAAATAATTGAAACCAATGTTCTAAATGTTTTCTTAATAGAATTATTAGTTCTAGTTTTTTAAAGTTATTTATTTATTCATATTCATGATTTCCATGTTAGAGATTGGATATCCTTAAAAATTAAGTAAAAAAATCCATCTCAAAATATATTTATTAAAGGGTCCGCATTTCTGCATGTGCACGCTTGGCCCACATGCTAACTGCTTCCAACGTAAAAAGGCATTCAAATGGTAATTTCTGTTTTATCTAATTATCATACAAAAGGGAGAGCATTATCGCACACTATACTGTAAAAGAGGTACCGACTTTTTTTATATGAAATTTGGGATCCACCTAAGAATCAACGAATGATTATTTTCAATAAACAGTTTTAATTTTAATTTCTTAGGTGCATTGATTTGACCATCTAAAAATTAAAATGTTTGGTATATATAAGGTGTCAACCTTAAATAATTAATATAAAATGCACCCCCAAACTCTATCGGTAGTCTAGAAATCTATTTTTGTAGCTACTTAACTCAAAGAATATTAAAGATCGAGCAGATCTCTAAGCACTTAAAAATCTTAAAAACAGATGGTCTAGACTAGAAAATGTATTACAAGATGCAATATTTTTAGGACTTTAAAGCCATTATTTTCATATTCATACATCTTGAGGTCGAAATGATTAATTGAAATTTTTTTTTTGGCGTTAGAACAATTTTGATGGTTTTTGAAGTGCACCTTATTTCTATAGTATAAGGTATTCCTTATATAAACTTTTCCAAAATTAAATGGTGTCTTTTCAATTTAAGGACATTATTTTCTTTCACACATAAACTGAGTATATAGTGAGGGTGTTCATTTTCATACTTTTGTTCGTTTATTCTTTTCTCGAGACTGGCCCTTGGTTGAATATGTTACAACTTCAATGCTATATTGATGTCCTAAAAATACCAGACGATCAGTGTTTACCTCAAGAAGGTACATAGAAAATGATCCGGTGAGAGCATAAAATTTAGGGGAAATTTCGTATGGAACTTTATTTTTTCGTATTATTTTATTATAGATCTTAATTTTGTTTTTTTTTGTCAAAGTAGTAAGAAAATCTTTAAAGATTTCACCATACCTTTTTATCTTTTATCTTTTATCTTTTATCTCCTTGACTTTTGATCATAAAAATTAGTCCCAACAATTTTTTTTATACTATTTCAACCCAAAATTTTTTCTAATGGGTGAAAAGGGAGAAAAGAGTTACAAAAGTTTTTGGGATGAAATAATATAAAAAATTTGTTGGGGCTAATTTTTACGGTAAAAAGTCAATAAGGGGTTGTTTGAAAACCTGGAAATTTATTACATGAAAATAGATTTCACGTAAATATATGAAAAAAGATTAGTCGAGATTTCCAAAAAAAAATCAATAAATCTATTACGCTTTTAACAGGTAATCGAGGAAATCTTTCACATGCTAATAAAAAAATATCGGTAATAAACCACAATAAAGGTTCATTTAAACCTCAAAACCCACGTAGCAGTAATAAACCACAATAAATATTCATTTAAACCTACGTAGCAGTAATAAACCACAATAAAGATTCATTTAAACCTAAAAAATCACATAGCAGCCTCGCAGCTAAAAACTCACAGCCTCATCTTATGCAACCCTATTGTTTATTTTTAGATATCCAATATTTATTTTTTGAGCTCTGCAATCATAGTTGTAGCTATTGTTCCAGAAAATAAATAGATTTGAATTCTCTGTTTATTTTTTTGGCTTTATTATTATTATTATTTTTGCTGATATTGTTTGCTGATAAATTCGAAATACTTGAATTTACTCACAGAGAATCGTCAAATTAGTGTGCTTGGATTTTTATTTTTATTTTTTCATAACTTTTTTAAATTAATTTACCTCTTGAATCTCCTCTAATACCCAATATAATTTCTTCTCCATTATATCTCATTTAGTCATAAAGCCTTCTAGGTTACTAGCCAAATTTCTCCTTTTTTTTTTTTTTAATATGCCAATGGAAATTTTCTGGAGAGAGATGATGAAAAGGTTTTCGCACAGAAAAAAAAACATAAAAAAATATAATGACTTATCCTAATAAAAGTATGTTATTCCAAAGTATTAACATCTTGAAAACATGTGATTCCAAGTCAAGATGCAAAGGCATACAAAAGGTGTGGCTAATTCTTATGCCTGATGCAATTATAAAGTTTAAGCTATATACTAATAGCGATAAAGTTTAAGCTACATACTAATAGGGATTGTACTCTCAACCATGTTTTAGGTATAAAGCCCAAAAAGAAAAACAAAAATGTTAAACCATATTTTCGGTATAAAGCCAAAAAAGAAAAAAAAAAAATGTTGGTAATGTATTTCCCATATTTATTGTGGACATAGCAAAACCGTAACAATATATTTCCTAAGTTGCATTTAAATACTACCCAAACAATAACAATCCATTTCCAAATAATGTATTACGCCAATAATATATTTCATAGAAAATATATTCCCAAGTATCCAAACGGCTTCTAAAAGAGGGCTATAAGAGATGAGGGGTACGGATTTCCTTATACCGTTTGAAAGAAAAACGAAAAGATGTCTACCATGAAATAATATGAGGAATTAGGATTCTATACGAAATTTTCCTTAAAATTTATTGCCAAAGTCTTTAAAAGCAATGGATCAGGGTGGGAATGCATCAGGTGGCACAGCACAGCCCACCCCGACCCTGAAAAGCTAGTGCGCCATAAAATATGGTTTGAGGGCTAGGCTTGACCTAGGCCAAGATAGGCTTGGCCCATTTGGTTGGGCTCGACTCCATCCTTATCTTTTCGTATTTTTTGTATTTTTTTCCTTTAATTTTTCCTAGCGCAGTCTTGCTCAGCCCAATCTTGATAGGACCTTAAGGGAATGAGGCCAGGCTAGGGCTAGGGCTTAGGGCTGGCCTGATCCGTTGCCAGCCCTACACATATACTATGATCCCTCGAGAACTTGGGAGGATTCTTTTTAATTGTAAATTTGGGAACTACTTAAGAATTGCTGGATGATTATTTAAAAAATTAAAAATTTGAATTTTCTAACAGATCCCATCATCTAAAAAATGGATGGTATATTGGATGGTATATTCAATCTTGAGGCATTATTTTTTCCAAGGGCATTTTAATACCAAAGTGTGGCTAATACTCACAGGGTTAAGGGCTCATATACCTTGAAAGTTCTAATGCATGCCCCTTAACCGCGAGACCCACTCACATGTTGTCATAAACATCTCATTTGAGACCAAACTTTGAAGATTAATCTATGAGTTAAATAGGTTACATCAGCAAAATTTGAGTTCCAAACATTAATTCTAGGTGTGGTTTTACCTGAGGGAGTAAATGCGCAGTCTACTCCCGAGGGAGTAAATTATCATTGTCGCAAAAGGGATCGATAAAGAGGCCTCTCCCTCTCTCGCTCTCTTAACAAATTTTCTGTCGGGCGATCTGCGCGGCTGCTCGTAAAGTTGAAAATTTAAACTCCAATCAGCTGCCCCAAATTCTGGTTGTTCAAACTGAGTGAGTATGCGCTCTCCATCCCATTCACCAATGCGTTGGCGATTTCCTTGAATTGCAGTGATAGTTTCTAGGGTTCGCCCCACGCTCCTTTTATCAAGGTATGCTCTCTGAATTTCCTTAGCTTCAGTAGCTTCATGTCATGACCTGAATGTGAAGAAGCAATGATTTTTTTTTTCTTGCACTTTTTTAATTGACTCTGGGGTTTTTCTTCCATTGAGATCTTTATATATTTAGGGTTTTCATTGGGTTCAATTTTTTTTTTTTTTTTTTGAGTAATGGTTCAACATTTTGTTCCAAGGCTGATATATGAATTGGTGAAAATTTTGAGTTCGGTTGGTTGAGATATTTTAGGGTTCTTTTTGCATGTGTATATTTCGAATACCTGGTCTGAAATTTCTAAGGGTTCTACAGTGGGTGGACTGATTTCCAGTGTTTTTTTTTCATCGATTGGATTGCTTTTTGTTGTAACAATGCGGAGGAACATGGGTTGCTTTCTTTTTTTCTTCAAAATTTGCTTTCTTTTGAATGGAAAAAATTTTCATGTTGAAGGATTATTTTGTTATTGTGCAAAACCGCTGTTTGTCTATCCAAGAATAAAAGGGAACCACCCAAACTTTAATTCTAGGGTTTTGGAGTTAATGGTGATCGCGTAACAGTGGGGGAAACATAAGCACGTTGCCTTTTCCTTTCATTGTTGCTTGTTTTCTGTGTTAAAACATCCTTAGAAATGAGCATTATTTGGTTTATGTGCAACAGCGCTGGATGCCTGTTCCAGAACAAGAACAAACAGTCAATATCTCTTGTTATCCCCTTTTATCTGCTGAAGAAAATCCCAACACAAGCAAACTTCCTGATACGAATAGGAAAAGTAAAACTAGCCAATAGAATATAACTCTTGACTTTTGCTTAATTTATGAAAAAAGATTGGACATTTCTACATTATATTTGCATGCTTTTGATGAGCGTTAAATTCTCATGTGTCCATTCTAGAATGAAAATAGTCAGAAGCTTCTGCTTTTCTTTCATTTCTCAGAGAAAAGAAAGATTCAAAACAGAAAAGTGATTTTTGTTTTGATTTACAACAGGAGTTTTCTTGAGCAAAATGCATGTCATTTTATTCAATATAAACGAAATTTTAAGTGAAATGCCTGAAATTTTATTCAACATAAAAGAGATCACTTTAGTATTCGATTTTGTATTTTCTTCCATGCTAAGGATACAGATTTTGCTAAGTACACCCAGATATCCAGACCACCTGGATGTGCTTCTCATACCTGAGGCACTCGAAGGAAAAACAGAGAGAATGCTATTTGAGATTGGTTAGAGAGAGAGAGAGAGAGTGCCCGAAGGAAAAACAGAGAGTGCTTTTTAAAGGGAGAGAGGATTGGTTCAATAGAGAGAGAATGCTTGAAGAGAGAGAGAGGGGGGGATAGGTTTTATAGAGAGAACACCCCACAGATCACCTCATTTTTTAAGAGAGAGGGGGCACTGCTTCAATGGAGAGAATGATTGAAAAGAGAGAGAAGAACAAAACACACACACTGCAACAAAGACGTACGCACCATAATCTCTTTGTTCTCTCTCTCTAACACGCACAAAAACAAACATATATAACATAAACTCGCTCTCTCACATCACACACACAGGGCTCAACAAACATGAGCACACGTGCACACACATGGAAGTCACGATGGGCAACTTGGACAATGCGCTAGGTGCCTAAGCCACCTGGTAGACCACCACCGAGGGTGGCCTGCATTGGCCTAGGTGCAGCGCTGAAGCACTTTGGTGCGCTTCCCAGGCCATCCAAGGTGGATGCCTTCTAATACACTGAGTGTACCATACTCAGTTGTTCATGTTTCATGGTACACTACCAAAGCATCCACTGTCCATTCTGATAACAGATGATACAGATTAATTGTAGTTCTTATGATGGATTTCACCCTGGCTGTACCTTCGATCGTTATTCATAGATGTTGGATGCCCCTATTGTGTATGGCATATCATTTCCATTTGAAAATTAATGGTTGCAATTAAATTAATTCCATGAGATATTGATTAATTTGAAATTTCACTTCCTTGGCATGTGGCATGGTTTTTCATTTCATGATTTGCTCATTTCTTTCTTGGATCATTCATTTCTTTGACAAATTATCTTTCTCTTATTTATGAGGTCTTGGGTTGTGGGCAGGTCCCAATTAATAATCATGTCTATGATGCTATTGAAATGTATTTGGGATAGATATTGAATAGGATTAAATTGGTTGGAACAAATTCCCTGTCTGGAATCCAAATGAAGCGTAAGAGGCGACATAGAGCCGGTGATGGCAAAGGAAAGGAAAAGAAACTTTCAAAGATCTCAAAAGAACAAGTCTTGCCTGTCGATGAAATGGTCGGTGATGACATGGATCAGAATGGGAGTGGCATCCGAGAAGAAGGTTCTCTGAGTTCTAAAATGGAAATAGAATCCCCTTCTTGTGGAGAGAGCAAACCAGACAAACCTGCTAACACAGATGCTGAGGAATCACAGGATAAGCCGGTTAGGCAATCGGGACATGCGCGTTTGAGAGTGAAGGTCAAATCCTCAAAGTCTTATACACATTCTCACACTTCTCTTGAGATGCAAAACCAAAGTGACACAGATAAGAGCTACGCATCTTTGAGTTTAGATAAACATAATCGAAGGGACATGGATAAGGTAAACCCATCATGGGGATTAGATAAACAAAACCAAAGTGGCACAAATAAAAGCAACCCATCTCGGGGCTTTGAGAAACACTTTGAAGCTCTTGAAAAATCAGAGGAAAATACCAACTTGCCAAATGATGTAGGGAAAAACAACTTGGAAAAGCCTTCAAGGAAAGCAGGGAGCATCAAAATAAAGTCATCGAGGAAGTTGGGTCCCCCAAGTGGAAATCTTCTAGACAAAGATATTGATATAGCATTTAGTCCTCAATCACAGTCTGTTAGTGAAAATACAGAGCCATTTGATTCATCTATGCCTGGAGAATTGTGTCAAAGTGAAAGAATGCAAACCATGGAGAGGCATAAGGATCATAGCTACAACCAAAAGGAACTTGGTGTTGCACTAGCGGTAGGTCCACAAACATCATGGGCTCCTCTCGTTGTTCCTGTTTTAGTTGATAACTTCCATGTTATTTGTATAGTTTTTGAATTCTCATTTCATTTTCTTTTCTTTGAATTATTCACTTTGCCAACCAGTTGTCCATGGTCACTTCTTTTGACCTATACGTTTTCTCTCTTATTCGACTATTATTTCTGAATTCTTAGGTATTAAAAAAAGTCATGAAAATGGAAGCAGCAGAGCCCTTTAATATTCCTGTGAATGCAGAGGCCTTGGGAATCCCTGTGAGTATGCCTTTTTGGAGCACAAATTAGAATATGTAGTCATTATATTTTCTTCTTGAGTTTTTTTTGTACACATCATCTAAGTACAAATGATATGCATTTTGCAAATAATTCTTTAAGGTTGTTTTTTTTTTAAAGAAATTTGTTCATTTCCTTCTTTAATGTTTTGGCATGTATAGGTCGACTTGTTTTCAGATGACTTGTACAGGTGTACTGGATTAGTGGTCTAAGTGATTCTAATTTCGAGAAGCGAATTATGGGAGTAATAGAGTTGTAATGTGGACTACGAAATCCGAATGTCATAATTATGTTCCTGTTTGAGAATGTACTATCTTTCAAATAGTTACTATTTACCTTTAGATGGTTTAATGGTAGTGTAGTTTTTTGTTTGTACCAGGATTATTTTGATGTTATAAAGACTCCCATGGACTTTGGCACAATATGCGACAGTCTCGAACAGGGGACTAAGTACATGAATTCGCAAGATGTTTTTAAAGATGTGCAGATTATTTGGGATAACTGCTATAGATACAACAGTAAGGGTGATTATATATTGGATCTCATGAAACGAGTGAAAAAGAGTTTCACAAAATACTGGGCGGCAGCTGGGTTGTCTTGTGAACGGACAAAGAGGGTTACTGGTGAGCTTTTCATACCTGATTGAGTTTGATTTATGAAAAGTTAGTGTTCTATAGATTTCTACATTCATATTAAGGAAAATATTTCAGATTTCCCGTTTTTTTAAACAGTTGGATTCCTTAAGAAAGAAATGTCTTTTCAACTACTTCATACTTAGTCAAGGTTTGCATTTGGAGCATGCTAGAAGGGCATATCATTTATTCATTGTATTAGGGTATGTTTAATGCGTTACAGACCACATAAGATGTGTATTGACTAACATTTGGCTTTTCTTGGATAAGCTCAAAAGAGAGACGAGAAAATGATAAAAAAGGATTCCCGAGGAGCTGAAATATTTGTGGTTACTAGAAATCCCAAAATCCGAATTTTCTCAAATTGGGCCCATGTTGGGCAACATATCTGCCTCAATGCATAGTTTCCATCGGAGTGTAAATTTTTTAAAAACATGCAAATGGAAGACATGAGATACCCTATTTCAGTAAAATTTCCCCAAGTGTCTAAGGGATCTAGGAGTCCATTTTTAGCTATGGCAAAACTTCTTGTACAGCATTTTACTGCTCCAATATTGCCTCTGTGACCTTCCCCTCTGCCTTTCCAATTTTAGTGAGCTTAGAAGCGAGGACTCCTCGTCCCATTTCACTTCCCCATGTTACTAAATTTGATTCGATGAATTTCAAGTTAAGGATTCCTGGGATGAGGCCAATTGATAAATTTGAGAATAAATGGGATGAATTTTATATTGTTGTCTAGGCCCTTTGGCGATATAATGACTGGTAGTGGTGGAGGCAGTGGCTTTACTCCATGGTTTGGGGGTGTTTTTTGGTCATTTTTTCCTCTCAATAGAGGGGACTGCATCAAGGGAAAGCATACTATAATCCAATAAACTTCGGTATCCTTGGAAATTGTTGGGCTCATTACTGTCTTATGAGATAGAGAGAGAATGAAACCCACCAGAAAGAGACAATGACCCCGAATCAGTCCTATTAAATATCAGAGAGATATCCAATGCCTTTGGCACTTCATATGCATTATTATTATATTTCTTAACATTCAGCAGGGGCCCACCTTCTTGGACTTGAGCTTATTGTATGTCCCCAATGGAAACCTCTGTGCCATTACTATGTCACCCACCTTGAAAATTTTCTTTCTTCAAAGCTCACTTGTAGCTTCTCAATATTTTGTACTACTTTCTTCAATTTTCTTCTTAATTTGGGCTCGCAAATCCCATATATGCTCAACAAAAACATTGGCATCATCACTAACCTTACTTTGTATCACTAAAAGCAATTGGTAAAGCACATAATTAAGAGTTTACTTATTAACAATCTCATTCCATTGACTGATTCACCAAACTATTATAAGAAAATTCAACTTGGGGTAAAGCAAGGCTTCACAGACCTATGTAATCGCCAATAATATTCGTTACCAAGGCTCGTATTTACCACTTTAGTTTGCTCATCTGTATGAGGGTTATAAGCACTAGTAAATTGAAGCTTGATTCCAAGCACTTCCACAAAGTGCATCAAAAATGATTCAAGGACTTTTTATCTCACTCAGATATATTGGACTTAGGGACACCCTGTACTCTCACCGTATCATTAAAGGAGATATTGGAAATTTGTGTGGCATCTATATATTTCATACAAGGAATAAAATGTCCCATTTTGAAAAATTGATCAAAAACAACAAAATTAGTCCATACCACGTGTGGTATGTGAGTGTCCAAGTATGAAGTCTATAGAGATATCAACCCATGAAGCATCTAGAGCAGGGAGGGAGTACAAAGACCCATATTTTGTATGTGACCTTTAGATATTTGGCAAAGTGCTACAAATTTATCAACATCCTTGTGAATGCGCAGCAAAAAATGAAGGTTCACTTTTTCCATGTCATGGTCCATCATTTTATTGGAATGTGATGATCCCACTCATTCAATATTATTAGATGGACCAAGAGTTTCTCTCCATATGGTGGTTGGTGAACCTCTAAAGGTGACTTGGGGCCAATATTTTAATTCTTGATTAAAAATGGCCATGTTCAAAGGGAGTCAATGCATTGGAGTTTTAAATCGGAAAAAGTAACATGAATTTCTTTAGGAGTATGAGGTCCCTCACTTCAGAATCACATGTGAGATGGGTTGTCTTTGGTGGTTGAAGTAGTTGAGGTCTTTTCTCCTTGTTTCATGCAATTTTCTTTTGTATGCCACTTCTTAATTAAAATTTTAACATGCATGTAGTTGGTTCTGAAACTCTTTTCACGCTTGGGATAACTGCATTGTTTTAAAATGCGGCCGCATAATGCATTACATGGCCGCATAGTGTGTTTTACAGCCTGGAGCACGTCACTGCAGGCCACATATGGAGAAAAATATGATGCATCCGTGTTTGCGGCCGCATCACCTGCATTGAAGTTTCTTTGGGTTGTTTGTAAATTCATCATTTCCTAATGCTTTCTTTTTGGGGCAATGTCTTCATTATCTTCAAGTAACAACAATCTGGTAGGGAAATATACTAAACTCAAAAACCCTAAGGATTGAAGTTGTGCTAGTTGTATTTTATGTGGGGATACTTATGCGGGGGTTATTTCCAGCAAAAGGAACACCTAGCTGGTATTGCTAGGAATGTTAAAGCATGCCCATAAGTAACCGATGAAATTGGAGGAGAGATTAGGGCATACATAGATAGCCAAGAAAGGCAAAAGAAAAGAAGAAAATGAGAATAAAGGAATTTATAGAAGAAATTCAAGAAATCTGATTGAGGGTTGAGAGTTGATTATCTTTGCCTTTTATATATCATAAACTCTTTGTCTTTGCCTCTTTGGCTTTTAAACTTTAAAATTTTGAATTTTGGATATTTTATATGAGATGGAATGGATTGCTTTGTTTTACATTTTAATTGTATCAGACATTTGAGTTATTAAAGATTAGAAGTTAGAGCAACAAACTCTATTACTCTATCAAGCTATCAGGGAACTCAAAAGTCTTAGACAACTAATATAGATATTGAAGAAATAAAAATACCTAGCATCACATAAATCACATTTCAGTTTTTTTACACATTATTATATTCTTGGTATTTTTAAAATATTTTAAAGTTATTGACCGCATTAGAGGTGATGCACACTCATCGGGACCACATCGAGCCGCATTGCTGCATCAGGTTTTCATCCTTCATTTTAAAACACTGGATACCTGAAATTCCCCTTGCTTGGGAATGTCTGGATGGCTTAATGGGTTTACTAAATCCACATGGTATGAATGAAAGAGAGGTGCTTGGATAAAGACACACATGATATAGTCTCTTTTCTACAACTGTGCTTGGATAGGGTTTAGAGCATGAACATAATAGAGGAGCCTGGACAGTAGTTAAACTATGAACATAATGGGGGAGGTTGAGCATTGACCCAAGTTATGTATCTGAAAGCTCTCACTTTCTATAACACCGTTATTCTCTTCTCCTTGTGTTTATTTTCAAAAGTCTATGCTGTAGTACTTAAGTTCTAAATGTATGCTTGTCTCCCTGATTTACATGATTTTATGAGCTGATGATTGGGAGCAATGTCTTTTATCCGTTAATTAGACTTCTGCCCTTCTCTGGAACTTTTGCACACGAACTCTCTACTACAGTTTTTATTTTTTATTTGTGGTTTTCTTTCTGCTTTTTGCATTGTAAAATTATTATCGATACCTTTGATGACCTTTATTGTGGGATCAACTACTTTACTATGAAACATATTTGCAGTCACCCTGCTAGTGTGAATAAAATGGATTCCTCTTATTACTTTTATTGTGGGATCAGCTACTTTACTTCGTTTGCTGTATACGAGAATAAGATGGATTCCTCTGACAATGCAGATTCTTCACTCGATCGAGGATATAGTGCAATGGAAGTTTCACACCAAGAAGACGAAAATGGATTTGACAAAATTTCTGAAGAGAATGAGAGCAAAAAGACTGATATATTGGGTACCAAGCCACTGCCTGTTAGAAGTTTGAATAGAAATACGAGTAGTATGGAAATGTTTGATATCTTAATGAGGTTCCTTTAACTGTGTCAACAAATGGTTTATATGCTATTAAGCAATTTTTTATGCTACTAAAAAATGGTTTAGGTTTCCTTATCTTATCCATTACCTTAAGTCCTTTCTTTTGTCTCTTCTTTTTCCCATCCCTACTTCTATCCCATCTATTGGAGAATATACATATCTTTTTCTTGATTATGCTACTTTTATAGAAATTTATCTAGATCTTGTTTCTCTTCATTTTCTTATGTTTTTCTTGAACACTACCGAGTGTAGGTGATTGTCCATCCAGTGTTGAGGATGTGGGTCCATCGAGTAAGGAAAAAACACAGCTGAAAGGGAATTCATCAAAATCAAAAGCACGTCGTCGTTATGGGTAAATTTCTATTAGGAGCAGCAACCTCATCTCCATGGAGGACGGGTTCCATTTGTTCCAATTTTTCTCTGCTACAAGATACTTTTTTTTTTATCTTTTTGTATACATGTTCAAGGTAATAGCGTTCAATAAAAAGTGCCTATTAGTATATTTATCCACATTGAAATTGATGGAAATCTTGTCATTATAATTTAAATAACAAAAACCCACAATTTCCAAATATATTTCGGTTTGCCATTTATGCTGTTATGAAATAATTACATGGGAAGAGCCAGTGTTATTAAATTGGGATGTGGACTTGATGGGCCAAGGGCTTCCAATGCGCTATGTGGCTTGGTACATTCCCATTGGAGGCGCATCAACTCACTATGCGGTAACCGAGGCAATAAATTTTTAAAAAATTAAGAAATTATAAACAGTATAAGAATACAAAGAGTAACATGAATTTGTGATGCACGTTATAATAGTATAAGAATACAAAGAGTAACACGAATTTGTGATGCACGTTATAACAGCATAAGAATACAAAGAGTAACATGAATTTGTGATGCACGTTATAGTAAGTTGCTGTCTTAGTTGCTGATAGTGTAACCAAGAGTAATAGAGTTAGTTACATCTATTCTCTAACTGTCTAATGCAATTAGTGTGTAAGATAAATGAATCCATCCCATATTCCCATCCGTTAAATTAACTAACCATTCCATATTCCCATCCATTAAATTAAATAAGACAAAAGAATATGTTCTACCAAGCGAACAACAGAGCACTTGAGAATTACATTAACATCTAGCGACTAAGTACTATACACTATAAGGTCATATAGCTAAAACGAAATATCAAATACTAAAGTATAATTGTCTAAAAGTCTGTAATGTAGATACATAATAAAGTCGTGCATTTCCTTCAAAATAATGATAAATTGAAGTACAAGCTTTCGCCAAAAGAATCCTGAAGTGAACTTTCGCCTAAAGAATCCCTAAAGTTTGTTGAAATCTTCGGATTCGATAAAATATTTGGTTCAAAATTTCTGTACTTCAATACCCTCATAATTATCAAAAAAATAGGTTAAAAGGAGTTTTGCGAGGTACAGACCCCTCCCATACCCTTTTCCCTTCCTCTTTCTTGGGAAAAGACTATAAAACCCCAGCTCATGGGCATTTTGTGCCCATGATTAGTTGCCCGCATATGCGAGTGCATATTCTGGGCGATGTGCCTGCATATGCAGTTGATGTGCCACATTTACTGTTGGATCATGATATCCCCCATATGGGGGTGTAGGCAGCGTGTCCAAGGGCACATCCACATTGATGCGGCCATATAATGCATTATACAGCTGCATTTAACAACTACGTGAGCTACTTTTGATCATGACAGTTAAGAAATTGGAGAAATATATGAAAAAGTTCAATAAAATGATGGACTGTGATGGAGAGGGGGATCCATCAGAGCATGGTGTGACCCAAAGTATAGTTCCTATGTTTTCTTAATCAGTCCATTTCATCAGGCAGTGATTTTAGCTATGGGTTTCATAGTCCATTGTGCTGTGGCATACTTTCCTATAAGAGTAGATGTTCATCTTTGCTCTTACTTTTCTATTTTCTTGTGTTCCATTGGTTGGGGTGCAGAATCAGCCATCACAAAGTAGATTGCTTATGTGCTGTTTGTGTTATGAAGCGTCGTCGACAGGAACGTGAGGGAAATCGTCAATCTGCGGTCCCTGGAACTCCTGATCATCTGCCCGAAGAGTCCAACAAAGTGGTTTGTTCCTACTTTTCTTTGTATCACAATGATGTCAAGAAAAACCAAAGAAAAGTATTTCATCTTCTTTTTAGCAATGCAACTAAAATTTGTTGAAATATTGGAAGATTATGCAATTTACACTGAAGGGAAAGGATCCTATAATCCGGAGGACTTTTGGATATTGAAGTTTATGTGTTTACTTTGAAATGATGGATGTAGAAAGAGTTGGATGGGCCACAATGGGGTGACTGCCCCAGTTTTTAGATCCCACTCTTGCTCAATCGATGTTTATAATGTCATCAAAGATACTGATGACTTCAATGAGCAGTATTCCTATTCCATTTGATAGCAGTACACTTTCCTCTAACAATAAATTTTAATCCAGCCTGTACTTATGCATTAATAGCTATCTAAAACGTGGTGAATATGTTTTTAACAAATTAGCCTGGTAATTGCATTTTATTTCTTATTAAAAAAAAAATAATTGCATTTTATTTCTTATTGATAATAATTTGTCTAATAGATCATGTTGAACTCCTAGTTCCAGTAAATGGAAACCCTCTTTACCAAAATGTCAAAGAAAAAGCAATTGTTTTGAGCTCAAAAATCTTTGAGGCATGCAACCTTTTGTAAAAGGGAAAAGTTTATATAGAGCCGAGGCTCTAAACAATCAACTTTGAGCCTACCTCTAAAATTTCACTAGAAGAGGTTGTTTTGATGCCCATATATCTTCAAATTGATCATCTCGACATCAAGATGCATGGACATGAGAAAAAAATGGATTTCAAGTTTTGGAAATAGTGTATTTTGTGACTCAATTTTGGACCGTCAATTTTCAAGATTTTCAAGTTTTCATAAATCTATCGATCTACGCTGTTTTTGAAGCTTTAAATTTTATAAATAAATATGAAAATATATTTTAAGGCTTTCAGAAAGATTTCCAATAATGAAACCACATTTCTCGATACTATTTGAAGGTAGGCTCTAATTTGATTGTTTACAGCCTAGGCTCTATACAAACTGCAGCCTTTGTAAAATAGATGCTAATATATTCAGATTAAAGGTCCTGAGTTATGTTTGTTAACTTATTTAATTATAACTTTCAGTGTAATTAACCAAGTTAAGCCGCTTCAGAAAATAAATGGAACCCAACTTGTATTTGTCAAACTATACAATACAAAATAAAAAAAACCAAAGAGGAAAAGGAAATGAAGCCCTGTCATTATAACCAATCTTTTTTGTACTCCTACTTTCTTTTGACAGAAAATCAAGTCTTTGGATAAGCAAAGCTTTGAGAAGGCATCATCAAACATAGAAAACTCGTTGGATCATGAATTAGATGCCGAACAAGAAGTGAAAATTGAGTCGTCCAAGCGCAAAGAAGAGGAAGACCTACAAAAGAATCAGGGGTTGCATAAGAATTATGACCAAGTGGATTCACCTAAGCAGTTACGACTTGAAAAAGTTCAACAAGAATTTATACAGCAGAGCCTACCTGAAAGGCAAGAGGATTCGGATCATCAACTATGCATCAGAACTGTGCAGCAAGCAGAAGCAGCAGCTGTTGCAGTAGAACAGAGAGAGAAGCAACAAGAGGTAGGGATCAATTTGATTGCATTACTGTGTTTTGATATTTACTCTTGGTTGTTCAGTTGCTCCAAAATATAGTGTAATGTAACTCCCTTTCTCTGAAAAGTATTATGGGGAAAGTATTATGGGGAAATGCCACATTTTCGACGATGGATATTTTCCTTAACAGTCACACAGAAACCTGTGAGATCAGACCCCACCAACTTCTCCCGCCCCACCCCAAAGGGGCTTCGCAAAATCCCAATTTTCAAAATCCATAGAAACGATGGATTGAGAATCAAACTATGCTGATCTATCCTCTTGACCTCTATCGAATCATGCAAAAAATGAATTTGGAGCCCTTGACAGGCTTCATCTTTATCCCAATATCTGATCTGGACCGTCCATTTCAATGTACCCTCCATCAATCAGATTTATGCCATTTTAGGAGCTCCAAGTCTAGGTTTTTAGGATGGATATGCATTTGCCTGGGTTGTTACTTTCGGTTTTGGATCCTCAATCCATGGAGAAATGGGCTTTTAGGGCATGCTTCAGTGTACCGATGCAGCTCTGCGTCCTTTCCTTATATCTCCAGTTTTCCCTTCTCTTACAAATTATTTCTGCAAATGGAAAGGGTGCTTAAAAAGAATATTAATTTTCTAGTTGAAGTTGTAAATTTAAAGTGAATTTTGAGAAATAATTTAATAACACTACCTCCAGTATTACTACTACCACACGCCACCTCCACTAACTACTGCTATTAATACTAATAGTAGCGATGATGATGATAGTTCTCTCTCCTTTTTTCAGGAAGTTCCTAAGAGCTCGTCAAATCACTTAGATTGGCAACATGTGAGCTCCTTTTTCACTGTAAATCCTAAGATTCTCCACATGGGTGGGCTTCTCTTCTCTAGGGACCCAAAGTCTGTATGGAACGGTCCCCACTCTCTGGTGCCCCGCCAGGCAGCAGCCTCCGGAAGTGCCATACATGCTGCCATTGCCAAGTTCATGGAATAGCAGAGTATGGAACGTAACCAATCCCATGCTCTATAAATTACTATAGTTTGTGCCTTGATTCATAAAGGAAAGGAGGACGATAACTACAAAATGGATGCCTAAAAACAATGCACGGATGGGGGGTATTGGCTTTTCGCTCTTTCTCTAGTGATCATTGTGGGGTTTCTGGATGGTTTTCTGCAGGGAGGTTATTGGAACTTGTGCCATTTCAGCATGATATTACTTGTATACAATGGTTTAAAAAACGGATCGGTGATTCGGATCGGGCTTCCAAAAAACCGATCCGGATCGGCGAATCGGCGATCCGGATCGGGAATCGGAAGGTCATAATAAAGCTTAAAAAAAATTCGAAAAAATTATTAAAATTCATTATAAATATTGTTTTTTAGG